CCCTTAAACAGACGATAAAGAAATTAGTATTACTGATGAGACGTGCTTAACAAAAGTAGTGACGTAACGCTTGGTTGCGAAGGCAGACTTTGAAAAATGTACTTCTAACACTCTGGGTCTTTCTTATTCTTTTTAAAGGATTACTTGTTACTTGTTGAAGAACTCAGTGCGCAAAACTTAAAGAAGCTGTTTCTCTCGCGCTCTACTTTTCTCGCTCTGTACGATCTTAATTTAGAGAACGTTTCAATGCGTCCGAGCGTACAAGCGGTGGCGCACGTATTGTGCATTTACCATTCAACATTCTCTCCGGCGTGAACCAAGTCTTGCGGCGCATGAATACAACGGAGGTTTATTTAAACGGGGGAGATATCATGCCTGTTGACCATTCAGAAAAAATGTCGCGCCAGCAAGTTGATACGGCACGCGTCAAGATCCGCGGGTCGGTCGATTCGCGCCTTGCGTCTGGCCGGTGAAAACGAAGCGTCCGTTGTATTTACTGGAATACGTTGCCGTAAGTAAGTTTCGCGCAATGCGATTAGACGCGATAATGACCGCCGCGGCGGGAATCTACATTTGCATTTGTAATTTCTGCCTGGTGTATCGGTGCCTTGACAAAATAAATCGCTCTTGTAGAGTAAGCGAAATGAGATACTCCGGAATTAAACGGACGTAACTTGACACTACCTTTACGCCTCGCGACTTGTCAGACCACCGTTGCACGTTGGGTTTCTCGCCAACCGCTTGCGATATAAGTTTTAAATAAATATAATAAAGTTGCCACAATTTTCGTAAGTTTGTTCTAAAGTTTTGTTACAACAAAGGCACGCGGTGTGTACTGCACACGATACGACATAGTTTCAAATTTATTTGTTTTCAGCAAATAAAAGTGTGTACACTTTTCTCGTCTTCTTCTATCGTTTGAAACACGAAATTATTGCATTTTGACGCACGTCGCAAAAGCTAACAAATCACATGGAGTTCTATTTGATAATTATCGGTGTCTGAGATCCTCTAATTGTCTCGAGAGCGTTGTAAAAGAGAGAACATGGTATTTTATCCCCCGCGTAAATTGCACTTGACATTAGCAAAAAGTCGCGTACAAGCGCAAGAGCGGCGAAGAACTGACTATCGATTTATCGTCAGGCGTGTGCTTCGAGCGCATGACGATAAAACGTTTGCGTCTCGGCGAAACCACCTACAGTTTCGCGGTACGTTGCAGTAGGTTCACCGTTACGACTCCCACCAAGCATACCAAGAACTGCCCAGTTTGCGTCGTATCCGCACGCAATATTTTATGTAACGGTCGCGAACAATCCGATGCTCAAGATATTGTACGTTTCTACAGTTAATCACGACCGCGAGACGTAGAGGTTCACTCGTCGCATAATTCGCGACCTGTTCCACTTGTTACTAACTTCAGACCGAGGGGTAAACCGCTGACCAAAATTATGTACAACCGATGCCTACTAGTGCCCAGTGGGCATTACTTTAACTTATCTTATTTTAGCTTATTTATCTTGTTTTATCTTATTTTATCTTTATAATGCCCCAGCAATATAAAATTTTATCTCTAATTTTACATCCCACTATCTTTAGTATATTTTATATACTTATAGCAAAATATGTGGCATGTAAAATTAGAGATAAAATTCTATCATTTACAAGTGTAAACGCCGTTTATGACCTGGCAGAGCTACAGGTAGCCATTTAAATTACTATGTGAATCCATATACGTTTTTTCCCCACCCTGTCCTGCGCACCGTTACAAACGGACATGACACAGGTTTTTCGTTAGGTGGAATCATTTTCGTCAGTGAATTCACGTGTTATAAAATCGCTGAACGATTTTTCTAAAGCTTACAAATGGTTTGCTTAGCATTTTATTACGATGACCCCCCTTCCCCTTACTCAGAATTAACACTCTTATTGCGAAAAATATTACTTCAGCCAGGATAAAATTCTATCTTGAACTCCAATGCGAATCACGGTTCAAAGTGGGCCGAAGTCCGGCTTTTTTTTTCTAAATATTTAATAAGGTTTTTAGCCTTGCCGCGTGAGAGAAACTCAAATTACTTACACATGCAAGGATCGTCCCTTCGTAGTATTAATAGGACTGGATTTATACTAGAAAGCTGTATATCATTTCGAAACTCGAGTGGATTGTTCCTGTCCTCCGCATTTTATGGCTTCAACTGTGAGGCTATTTTGCAACTACACGCCACAAATATTTACGTTTGCTACACTGATGCAATTTCTGTCTCGGCGCGCCACCCGAGGATATTTACGCGGCAGACTAGTTGGAGATTGTAACAATCCCGATATTTATTGTCTCCCGCGTGAGCTGAACGTGCGGTTATTCTAGGTCCATTGACTCGGGCTTGACTTGGCTTTCATCCCGCGCGAACTAGCCAGTAGATCTCGTACTCGCTCGGCTTGTACAGGATGCTCTCAAAACCGTCGGATGTTACTTTCATCATAGATTTTTTGGTCGATATGAAGTCTTGCCTCGGCGAGAACATTCAGGCGCCCACGATCCTCGAGCAATTAAAGACAAAGGCTCGTATTCCGAACCCTCTTTTATCGATAAAAGCGCCTCTAAAAGCGACTAATAAGTCTTCTGATTGGCTACACGCCACTTTTAGGGGCGCTTTTATCGATAAAAGAGGATTCGGAATATGGGCCTAAGGGTCAGAGCACAAAGTAACGTGATAGCTTACGAAAGAGACGCACTGCGCACAAGCTTTGGCGTAAATGTAACGTCATATGTAATTGGAGGTAAGTACGACATACGCCAAAGCTTGTGCGCTAATCTACGTTTACGCTTACGTCTTTGTCGTAAGCTATCACGTTGCTTTGTGCTCTGACCCTAAAACAGAGGGTTTTCGACGACGCGAGTTCTGGGAGCTGAAGAATTAATGACATCATATTTTCCTGTCAATTAAGACTCGCGCACTGATATAAAGTAGAATTTGAATTCAAGACTACGAACATGTATGCACAATAGAGGTTGCAAGGGTAACAAATGGCGACTACTAAAGTGGTGGAAAAGAAGCTGCGGTTAAAAGGCACACGTCCGGTGGCCTCTGTAATATCCTGTAGAATCAGTTTTAGGTCGCGGCGACGTAGGGGGTATCTGGTATACATCCACTCGGTGGTCTCGAATACGAGGGTTCGAACCCAGGAAAGAAGGGGTCGATTCAAGGGTGGGAGCCGGAGAACGGACAGCGAGAGCCGGATTTCTGTCAGCTCTTGTCGTTACAGACTGCGCGGCGCCCCACGCTCTAAATCTGCAGTTAATTACCAACCCGCGTTACGCGATCCGAAATAAACCGGTCAACACGACCCATCTATTCCCCGGAATTAGCGATTTTACTAAACATGACTGACGAGAAAACCGGGACGAAAGTGCAACGAGAAAAGATTCGCGAATTATTTTTTACATGTATTAAAAATGTCGAGTACATGAGTAAAAACGGTATGCACAAGAAATTCTCTCATTATAAAGTCATTAATTAAGAGAAACGTAACGATTTAACGGCGAGACATTTTAGTTGCGCCAATTACAACAGTACTTTGAACTCATTTTCTTCCATGAGAAGAGCCGCTCGTTGAATTATCAAATGCATTTCTACAGGAATTAACTCTTCTTCTTCCTCCTCGTGTATTAGACTTAAAGTCTGTTTTATCCAGTTTGTTCTGGTACTCTGAGCATTTGGCTTTACTTCATCTTCGGTAGGCTGCTAACCTTGACGAAGGAAACTTCCCATCTGGAACGGCTGTACTCCTGAAGGGGTGTGTGTGGCAAGATACTCTCAGTAGTTGCCCCTTCGGGAGATTCCGAAAACAACCGGCGGTGTCTGTAGATTTGAACTCGGATCATTTTGTTCATTTGTTTTCTAAGCAACGCACATTTCTCTGCGCCACACACACACTCGCCACCCCAGGAATTAATTAATTAAGGCAAATGGGAAACGAGAACGCCAAATCAATTCGTAAGTTCGAGCAGGATGAAGATAGCCTAATAATTGGAAATTTAATATGCGAATTCATATACCGTTTCTCCAACATGTTTATTACATGTTTAAAACCTAATTAATTAAGTTTTTTTCCAACGATCCTGTTGCTAAAAAAAAGAATTTTAAATTAATTACCAAAGTGTGATCGCATATGCTCTTGAAAAAGGTTTTCAACTGTGACATCTTATGTTTTATGCGTTACGTGGGATAATTTCTTTCTTCCACCCTTTTTTCTCTCTTGCAGCAGATTATATCTAATTAATTCCTAGAAATGCATTGCGTGTACAGCAGTACACCTACGTGTCCTTGCATTCCTGTAAACTAATTATGTCACTATAGACTATTTATGTCGCAGAAATGTGCTAATAGCATTTGTAGAGGCGTAATAATAAAACCATTGGTTCGCTGCAGATCCCTTAACTTTGTACTGTTTACAAGCATGCGAGTTTTACAACTCGCGTAAAAAGATCTCTAATCTGATCAGGATGCGATTCAATTTTCTTCTAAAAGCTTATTTTTGTCTGAAAAATCTGTGAAGAATCGATTCAGATGTGCAATGTCTTGCGATTGTTTTCAAAACTTAAGTTTTTTCCTTACAAAATAATGGTGGAAAATAAAGTGGAATTGTATGAAAAATAAGTTTTGGAATATATTTTTATGTTCTACTCGGCGGGAAGTTAACGATTAAAAAGAAGGGAGAACAAGATAATCGCTGAACTTTCTTGAGAAAAAAAAAGAAAGAAAAGAACTGGGAAAGTTGCGCAAGAGAACTTTAAATGAACATCTCTCCGATATTCGCTTCAATACTGTACATGTGTTTGTAACATTAAAATTTATTTATTTAAGCGTATTTAAATTTGTCCGGTTTAATGAAGAAAAAGAGATATACAAGTATATAAAGGATACGAATGCGAGAAAAGCTTCTTAAATTTCATCCGAATCATTTACATATAAAGTGACATATATTTAATCTTTTTTTTCCAGAGTGACCCCAGTACCGCATTTTTACGAGCAGCTCGCGCCGGACAGCTCGAGAAGGTCTTGGAATACTTGGAGTCTGGAGTGGATATCAACGCTTCTAATGCCGTAAGTCACCGAGCTGCCGGTTCTCGCGGATTTTGGCGTAACGAACAATCAAGTATTGCCCGAATCTCGGACGAGTTCCTTAGCGACAATATGAATTTTGTACGTTGCAGAATGGCTTGAACGCTTTGCACCTGGCAGCTAAGGACGGCCACTTGGAAATCGTGAGAGAACTCCTAAATCGCGGCGCGATTGTGGACGCCGCTACCAAAAAGGGAAACACGGCATTGCACATAGCTTCTCTTGGTAAGCGTTGCTTGCGCACATTCTCATCTCTCTGTCTCCCTCTCTCCCTCACTCATCCTATCTCTTCTCGCTGCTGGGGACCTCGTCGCTCGTTAAATGCATACGGGACAAGGACGCGAATGATTTTAAATAAACATTTACTTCTCTCGAGGCTCGCGTAGTCTCCGATATCTCGCGTCGCGATGCGACCTCCGCGAAACGAATAATTCGCATGGCCGATATCTTCTTTCAGCTGGACAAGAGGAGGTTGTACAATTGCTGGTACAACGAGGTGCTTCTGTGAATGCACAATCGCAAAATGGGTTCACGCCGCTGTACATGGCTGCCCAGGAGAACCATGACTCCGTGGTCAAGTACCTCCTCAGCAAGGGTGCGAATCAAACATTGGCCACCGAGGTACGTGTGAAAGACCGTTCCGTCATTTGTCAGCTAAATTCTCGTCGTTGTTAAATATTTCCACTATTTAATAGATTTCTTAGTTTTCCCAAAATTTTTATTTTTTAAATCAAATTGAATTATTACTTAATAATCTGCATATTACATGTACATGCTTCTTCCCCATATAGGATGGTTTCACTCCGTTGGCGGTGGCTATGCAACAGGGTCACGACAAAGTAGTGGCTGTTCTGTTAGAAAATGACACTCGCGGTAAAGTTCGACTGCCTGCCCTACACATCGCCGCTAAGAAAGACGACTGCAAGGCGGCTGCCCTACTTTTACAAGTGAGTTATCGTGACGCCTTGTCAGTTGCGGCTTTTATTTTAAACGATGTAACCCTATAATACAATAATAGGTAGAAATTAGTTCAGCAGCGCAATTTCTTTCATTTTCCTCTCGTTACAGAACGACCATAATCCCGATGTAACATCGAAAAGCGGTTTCACCCCGCTTCACATAGCCGCGCATTATGGCAACGACCGAATCGCTTCCTTGCTTTATGACAGAGGCGCGGATGTTAATTTCGCGGCGAAGGTACGTAAGATACGTTTTGCAGAGAATAGTGTACTTACTAAACGCTTACTCTTCTCGCAATTGCAGCACAATATCACACCGATGCACGTGGCGGCGAAATGGGGGAAGATAAAAATGGTTAATCTCCTCATGAGCAAGGGAGCAAACATCGAAGCGAAAACGAGGGATGGTCTAACTCCTCTCCACTGCGCGGCCAGGTCCGGTCACCACGAAGTAGTTGATATTCTCATCGAAAAGGGTGCACCCATTGGCTCAAAGACAAAGGTACAAATCGACCGCGTGCGTCTCGCCGGCAAATAGCTTTCCCTGTATTAATTGTCGCTTGGTTTCCATTGACAGAATGGTCTTGCCCCGTTGCACATGGCTTCTCAAGGGGATCACGTTGACGCCGCGAGAATTTTGTTGTACCACCGTGCACCCGTGGACGAAGTGACAGTGGACTATTTGACTGCGCTGCATGTGGCCGCACACTGCGGCCACGTACGCGTAGCTAAACTACTCCTCGACAGGAACGCCGATCCCAATGCGCGAGCGCTCAATGGATTTACTCCTCTTCACATCGCATGCAAGAAGAATCGTATAAAGGTCGTCGAACTCCTCCTGAAGCACAAGGCGAGCATCGAAGCCACGACTGAGGTACGGCATTTTCAAGCTTCTCTCTCTCTCTCTCTCTTTTTATTCATTCTTAATTTTATATTACTTATTGTGTTAGATACTTACTCATAATGTTCACTGGAATACCATCAGGTGGTTACAAATGTACGAAAAGTAGCAGTGTCGTGTGTATTTTTTACAGTCTGGATTAACTCCACTGCACGTAGCAAGTTTTATGGGATGTATGAATATCGTGATTTACTTATTACAACACGAGGCCAGCCCCGATATACCGACAGTAAGAGGTGAAACGCCATTACACTTAGCTGCCAGGGCGAACCAAACTGATATTATTAGGATACTTCTTAGAAACGGCGCCCAAGTCGACGCTAGAGCAAGAGTAAGTACAGTGCTTGATGAATAACAATTAGCATGAGTAAGTTTCATCGTCGAGAATGAATTCGTTATATAAAGTGCGGATATAAAGAAGTGTAAATTATTTGTAGGAGGAACAGACACCGCTTCACGTTGCTTCCCGCTTGGGTAACGTCGATATTGTGATGTTACTGCTGCAGCATGGTGCGGGCGTAGATGCTACAACGAAGGATTTATATACACCGCTTCATATCGCTGCTAAAGAAGGCCAGGAGGAGGTAAGATTACAAAATGTTACATATATAACGTAAGAGAACCTGAGATTCCTTTCATAACGCGTCTCTATGATCGTACACAGGTTGCATCCGTTTTATTAGAAAATAACGCCTCTCTTACCGCAACGACCAAGAAAGGATTTACTCCCTTGCATTTAGCGGCCAAGTATGGTAATATGAACGTAGCACGGTTGTTGCTACAAAAGAATGCGCCTGTTGACGCTCAAGGAAAGGTAAGCGCTTTTTTTTAATATTTAAAATGAATGACAAGGCTCATGAATTTGCATGCGTCACGCCGCATTATTTTATATTACGTGAGATTTTGACAAACAATTTTCTTGTCTGTTAATTGCAGAACGGGGTAACGCCTCTTCATGTAGCTTCTCATTACGATCATCAAAACGTGGCTTTACTTTTACTCGATAAGGGAGCTTCACCACATGCGATGGCTAAGAATGGCCATACACCATTGCATATCGCTGCACGCAAAAATCAGGTACGGTGACACGACTTTAATGATTAAGAGTCTCCGCGACTGCAAAATAATATCATTCTTGTTTCCGATAGATGGACATTGCGACTACTTTGCTAGAATACGGAGCGAAAGCTAACGCAGAATCAAAGGCTGGTTTCACGCCGTTGCATTTGAGCGCACAAGAAGGCCATACTGATATGTCAACCCTTCTTATCGAGCATAAAGCAGACACGAATCACAAAGCGAAGGTGGGTAAAAAAAGGAGAGCGAGATAATTTTCAACAAACTTTTATTTATAAAATCTTACGTTAATATTTATTTTTACACTTTACAGAATGGCCTTACGCCTCTACATTTATGCGCACAAGAAGATAAAGTCAACGTCGCCTCCATTCTTATGAAGAATGGTGCTCAAATCGACGCTAAAACTAAGGTAACATAATTGATAATCCCTTCTCTAACTTCCGTGCGTGCGTGAACTTGCCGAAATGATTCGCAGAGCTAAAAATAAGTATTCATTATGATTACAGTAATATCAACGCGACTACTATTGTGTCTTTAGTCACAGTACGTTAGCACTTTATACACAATTAAATTACCACAGATGATGTAATTTTCGCAAGTGATTGTTCATTGCTCTATATGTCCATTGATAACTTGAAAATAACACCTATCTACATGACACAGTGCAGTAGTGTGATTGCCGTTGGTCTTAAAGGATCGCTACAAATAAGTTGAATTAAATTGTAAAATAACTCGTGAAATTATATAAAATCTAACTCAATTGTTCAATAGACATTACATCCAATAATGCAAAAAAGGATCTTATGTCTTATTGTATTTTCTCCAGGCTGGATATACGCCATTGCACGTGGCGTCTCATTTTGGTCAGGCAGCTATGGTACGATTCCTCCTGAGATCTGGTGCTGCCGTTGACAGCAGCACCAACGCTGGCTATACTCCTCTCCATCAAGCAGCGCAACAAGGGCACACGCTTGTTATTAACCTGCTGTTGGAAAGTAAAGCTAAACCGAATGCCGTAACTAACGTAAGTTTTCGGTCTTTACGTTGAAATTCTGTACATTAAAAGTCAGAGTTTAATATAATCGCACTCAATGTAAATTACTTTTTGCAGAATGGACAGACCGCTCTGGATATCGCACAAAAACTGGGCTACATAAGTGTCATCGAAACGCTGAAAGTTGTCACAGAGACTGTCATCACCACAACACATACCGTCACCATTGAAGAGAAATACAGAGTTCAGGCACCCGAATCCATGCAGGAGACATTTATGAGTGACAGCGAAGACGAGGGCGGTGAGTACTCGTATTTAATTCACGGAACCAGTTGTTATCTTTTTGCTGCTTACTATTTCTATTTGCTGCATTATTTATTGACGAGGGCTTGCGATATTGGAACGAACCAGACCATTATGAAAAACTTAACGTTTACTTTACGTACATAGGATAGTACTGCAATTGTTTCAGAAACAACTCGTTTCTGATATCGCAATAAATTTTATAAACATATATTCTGACAGCTTATTGCTTAGCACAATTATTTTGCCTTGCACATTAGGGTTTTAGCAGCGACATAAAGTAGAGATAATAGTGAGAGAAAATGAAAACTGATAGTACAACGGCGTTTTCGCTTACGTTGATAACATGCATAGAGACAGTATCTAATAAACTTTTTAATAAGACGAAGTTATATCTTACTAAATGTATCTACCTGCGAATAAGTGGCACATTATCTAAACGTTATTACATGGATATATTTTCGCGTATATTATATATGGATAAAATAAGATAGTCTCAAAATGAAGACGAAGCTTTTCGATATAGTAATCAGTACGCCAGGAAAGTAAAATCCATAAGGTGTCATTGCATGGAGGAGAATCACGAAAACGTACTGTTTAGAGAATTACGGAAAATAAACTAAAGGTAGACGTACAAGTATATATTTATATATTCTATAAATCGACAGGTAAATATTCGTTAAATTCGTAATGCGAGGATTAGATAGAAGTACTGAATTAGCGGTAGAGTTCTGAGAACGAAATAGTTTTCCGCATGTCCGCGTACGATGCATGACGCGAACACCTATCAGCATGTGAAACTTGGCGCTACCCGATAGAAACTGATCTGACCCTCTCCCGCTCCACACGACCGCAACGGCATAAACTGTACGAGATAGTCGGAATAAATAGACAGAAGAAATCGCGAGTTTCCAGAAGAGAAGATTAGCTCTATCTATCGAAGGTCTAGGTTCTTAGATCTGCCTAAAGTTACGAAGTGGATATCAAAATGCTACGTGGAATTATTATTTGCTTGATTGTTGCGTTTATGTTATGTTGCAAAAGCATGCACTTAGCCAATTCACTGGGTTGTTGTATTTTATACCTCTGTCGAGATTAAAGAATAAGCGATTGTAAAACTGATCGCGTATTCATGTAACGGATTTAAAAATGAAATACGAATTGAGTAATTTCAACGAGAACAGAGTCCGGGATTGTCTAACGTTATCTCGATCTTGTAAAATCCTAAATCGCATATTAAAGTAAAGAATTGCCTGTTGATCCAATAATGTATTTGCGTTAACATAGAGTTCGCGTAGACGTAGAAACTTCCTATTAAAGACTTAGTTTTGTTCTAGCGTGGCAGAACTCATTTCCGACAGTAGGGACATTTAAATATCCTCGCTCCTATCTCGGAACGACCCGTAGCCAAGCACGTAGAAAGACGTACTTGTCCGTCCAGCAAAGAACAGTGGATGTAGTTCATAGTTCGGTTCGTAACTTAGCGATGCTCGGTATTGCTTATTGAACAAACCGGAATCCGCGCCAGGCGCGCGTCTCGTTCCCAACTCCTGCGTAGTTCTTCGGCATTAGTTTTTTTTTTAAACAACCCAGTGATAGAGAGCGAAACTTAGAAAAAAAAAGAGAGAAAAAACAAACAGTGTATATGGTGCGAAATTAGCGTTTCTGATGAAACCATGACCTTACCTCGACGGCGTGTACGATGTATGTAGGTGGTGATGAAATCGGCACGGCAGCCATGAATGTGTACGGGCAGCCTCCGCACGCGCAACACGTGTACCTTCCTTCTTACTACCAGGGCCAAATGACCTATACCCGTAAGTTGTCTGTACTCTGTTTCTGTTACACTCTCTCTCTGTCTTCACGCGTTCCAACGCGGAACGCAATCGCGGCAAATACATACGTAGATCATACATTGTATGTATGTACACGCTAGCACTGTCGCAGAACGACATGCGATCGCCAGACGATATGCCATTGTTAAGTGTCGTTCTCTTCCCGCATAGAAATTTCCCAAAATTTTCCCGGTTGTGGATTCCGATCAGAACGCCCACACGAATACGAATCCGAATTGATGTACCGATCTATTGCGGCATCGCGATATCAGTTGGAGAATCCGTTCTTATCGCGAATATGGGTTTTCTCTCTGGAAAATTTGCGACGGACACAACGCTGGAATTTGCGTTTCTTTTTTCACGGGTATATATTTTTGTGGAACAATTTAGAACAACGAGAGTTACGTCAATTTCGCTCGACTGCGAGAATATATTAATTTTTTTATTATTAATACTTTAAATAGCACTAGTTACAAGAAAATCCTAGTTTGTTTGATTAAGAATTGTGAAAAACTAGACAAACTTATATAAAATTTATATCATAGAAAATTATTACATTATTAAATAATTAGCAAAAGTAATGAATTACTATAATAAAGACGAGACAAATATTCTTTCTTTTCCTAACATTGAACGTAATAAATGGCATCTTTATTTCATTTTACCGAAGAAATTTTTACGAGAAGAGAATATGAATATTTTGGACATTTATAAGTCGCAAGAGATTCTTGGATTTCTATATATATTTTTCGTCTTTTTAGTTTAGGCGAATGTCTTTCATTTTTATCTGTCCGAAATTATTCTCTTCATAAATAATTCGCTGAATTTGAAAAACTGAGCTGCCTTGTAATAATACTACATCATCTGGACATTTATCGCTGGCGACAAAACAAAAATCAGAAAAAGCTTTGGAGGAGACTCCCGGGAGGAGCAAGTGTAATCTTCTCTTTCAGACTTTCTGTTTTTTTTTCCAATTTAATTTAAGATCGCAAAACATTGCGCTTCTGATCTGAATCTCCATAGATTTCCCAGGCAGAGTCGATGATTCTTTTGGGAAATTGGATCCGGTTCCAATTAGATCCCAGAACGTTTTCTATGTGGGAGCAGCTGCTCCGTTATTTTTGACGATTAGAGCATCGTGACGTAGCGGCATACGACGTAGTAGTGTCGGGAGTAGTGTCGATCATCGTCATCGTTATTATTTCGTCGGCAGCGTTCGTACATCCGCATCTCGGATCACGCTCCACTCTTTCACGAGTACTCTTTCGACTCGATCGAACTTTCATACATCAGATCTGCATACAGAGACACGCACAGACACAACTGTATTTCCCGCCCGCTATTTCTGTCACACATTTATTATTTTCGCGTTCGTCTTCCCACCGTCCTCCCCTTTTCACTCCCCCCCCTCTCCCCCTCCCTCCACGAAAGTTCTTTTATTTCTAACGGTAGCAGTTCGATACACGAAATTACACCGTGCAAGCGTACCAAATTATATTCTAAACACCCAGGTTACATTGTGATTTTTAATCACGTCTCTCGTCCATGAAATTGGAAACGCTCTATATACTAAGAGAAGGCTCTACTTAATACAATTATATTTTGCATTTTAAACTCTAAGGAACTTCTTACGCACGTAATTCAATCGATCGTAACGATATCGTAATACGCGAGGGGTTTTGAATTACAATATAATATAGTGCACTATATTCATTGCACATCCTTAAGGTTCCTTCTCTGCACTGAGAAAAATTTCCATCGGGTAAACCGATTAAATAGTGTTTCCAATGGTTAATTTTTCCCATTAAATTATGTGTATATCCGATGAAATTTGTCCGATGAAATGCAGTTACCGAGGAAATTTGATCGAAAAACCGATCACATTTTTCATCGGATATTTTTCTTAGTGTAAACATGGCCGGGTCTAATTTAAACCCAAATAATCTTCAGTTTCTGGCACAATCAAGATATCTGTGATGTAGTCCTGACGTTGTTACGTAATCTTTCATAGAATACTTCACGTTCGCAATAGACACCGATGCGTTATGTGCGGTTTCAGTTGTGTCACGTTCCCGACGCAATCAACGCGGTGTATTTACAACAAGTAACATGCGTATTGCGATCGTTATCCGTGCATAATAAATGGACGGCATTCTTTCGTTACCGCGGCAGCTCCGTTCAACAAACATCGTAGGAATCGAAGCGACCGCTCTTATTTGTTGGAAGAAATAGCTACTTCAAAAATGCAATGTTAACAGTACGGTACATAAGCGCTACTGTAAATAAAACATTATAGAAGACATTAGAGTACCCGGATAATAAAAAATGTGAACTCTGTGCAACGGTTACAGACACTTTGGAGTACAAGGCTCAACGTTTCTCTCGACAAAATCAAAGAATTACTCGTTTCTATACGCGCATATACAGCGAATTAGAATCGACCAAAACCCATGACCTTTCGGGGAAATCGGACTGGATCTTAGATTTCAGAAAGTTTTCAACGCGGATTAATCACGCGATTTAACACGAACGCTTTGATCTTTTTCGCATTTGTTCACACGCTGGATTTATGCTGAATCTGGTGATTATTTCCGGATTATTTCTAGCTCTTCGTATTTGCACGTGTTCAAAAAGTGCAGTCGCACTGAATAGCTTGACTTTGGAACAGAGAAGCGCAAACTATTCAAATCGAATCGAATCGATTAGAACTTGAACTTTTTATTCGAATCTGAGAGTTTTTACCTTAAAACGAATTTATATCAGGGTAAGGTGACCAGATGCGGATCAAAAATTTGACGAGTCGCTAATAAGCGGCACTTTAAAGCAATTCACTTCATTTTTGCTCTTTTATATATTTACAACTTTATGCTATGTTGTCGATATTATAAAAGGTATCGGCGCGTGTCTCAGGAATATGCTGTTGCAATAGTGTTTCAATTATTGAAAATTTTTGTGTACTGTAACACATAAAAATTACGTACACAAAAATTTTAGTGGAATAATTCAATTTCAGCACTTGCAACAGTTGTAAAAAATATTCTGCTAAACGCGACTAATGTTAACTCAATGTACTTCAACAATGTTTACTGAATGTTGAATTGTAACGTTCACAAGACATTACAATTCAGCGGACATTAGACGTTCTTGCAATATCTTTTCAACGTTGAGTCTACATTTCGTAACGTTGATGCACTATTGCAATGGAACGTTTCTGAGATGTTGATTCAATATTTGTGTGCTGTACACTGAGAGCTGAAAAGCAGTGATGGTTATAACATTTTTCCTCGTTTTTAACTTCTAGTCTTTCTACAGTAAGCATTGTCCCAGTAATCAGTACGGATTTTACAATAACTATTACGGATTCTACAGTAATGAATATTGTAGATCAACTGATTGACTGTTACTTACTAATCCAGTATTGAATCAGTACTGTATTTCCACAATCATTACGATAAAAACCAGTAATGGTTTTGGTACAAGATTTTATTGAAAATAAAAAACTTTTCCACTAGTTTTTTTCTAATTTTTTTGTATGTGGGATTCGACCCTAAGATTTCGGATTACTAGCCTAGTACGCTGAGCTAACTATTTATATGTATATGTTTTCTACCCTACTGTTAGACTACATATTATTTACATATTATTTTAATGCTGGTGGTCAACAGTAATGGTTACGGAATTACACATCACTCAATAATAAAATTGTTCAGTAATCATGTTTTCTTTAATACAATATCGCTTACAACTTTAGTCGTTAGATGGTATTGTATTTTTCAGCAGACATTACTTTTTTTTAAGTAAGCATTTGCGTATTAAGATTAAAAGTTGAGAATGAGCAAAAATTCGGGAACTATTGCTGTTTTTCGATTCTCAGTGTATGGAATGATAAAACATCTTGGATTCGTACGTCTCTACGGAGAGGGACACTCGAATTTAACTCCGCGGGGGATCCGAGCCTCTGGATTGACGCGACTTTACCTACGTTATAAAAGCAATGGGGGACACAAAGGCAGGGCGTGCGGCTACCGTTAATGCAATTTACATAATAACGAGCTGCGCGATCGTTATATCAGCGGACCGAAGCGCGCTTCGACGTCGTCCTCATCATTGTCGTCGTCGTCGTTGTCGTCGTCGTCGTCGTCGTCATCGTCATCACCGTCGTAATTGAACCTACCACACACGGTACCGCCCTCCACTTGAGCTACCTGTTATGCAACCGCCGGCGTGCGTATCGCAGCCGCGTTATTAGTGCAGTCAGTCCAACCCCTGCCGCCTGGCGTGCCGCCAAACGCACGGATCCCGGACCGAAATAATCTCGTATTTATATAACGTTATACGCGCGGCGGCCACCGATTAAGAGGAGGAACGGAGAAGAAGTAAAGCGTGCGAATTGTAACGCATTCACGCACGCGTCGATGACGCCCACGCACGGACGCGTATACTCGCCGCGTCAACGGGACCGCGTCCGTCCGGGCGCATATTGAATTTTGGGTCGATCGTCGATCGGCTGGAAGTAATATCGGCGAACTTGAGGAACTGCCGTGGAACTCGCCGATCGTTCGCCGATCGTTTGCCGATCGTCCGCGGAAGAAACCGGCTTACTTCCCGCGAACTTCGCCTACGCTCCAATTGCTCGAGTTACGAAGGCTGCCTCGTCACCTGTGATTGTCACGATTAAATTCGCGCGATTGATTCGGTCGCGAACGGAAGAGGACACTGTCGTGTCGAGCGACAATAAGCAGTTCTATTCGGCTTCGTTATCTCGCAATATTTCTTTTCTTTTTTCGCACTTGGTGAACCTCGACCTAGCGTCGCGTCGCGATACGCTAAAAATTGGCTTTATCTACTGATTGGCGCCGCCGCTGCGATTTGATCACGCAAATCGCCGGGCGAAGCATCGCGTGTACCCTCGTCGAAGCTCCTCGCCGCGGACGCGAGGAAGAGCGTCCGAGGGACCGCTGGATACTCCGGCGCGCGGTACA